CTCTCTCTCTCTCTCTCTCTCTCTCTCGCGCGTACAGTATTTGTCCCGGATTACGCACAGGTCGCTACCTAGATACCTGGATCAGCAAAAAACCTACCACTCTTCCCACCCTACTTGGCGGTTTTTCTTTTTTTCCTCAAAATCTGCCTCCTCGTCCAGCACCTCCACCTATTCCTCCATCTTCCCCCACGACCTACTTTTCACTCTTTTCACCAATGATGCTGAGCATTAATGCTCAGCCTCACCCAGAAGTCCACACACACACACACACACACGCGCACGCACGCACGCACACGCGCACGCACGCACGCACGCACGCACGCACGCACGCACGCACGCACGCACGCACGCACGCACACACACATACACACGCACGCGTACTTTGTCTCTGTGCCAGTAGTTAATAAAAATTGTAACAACCCCGCAAGGAAAATAAATGTAATCGTCAAGAATTATCTAAATTCTAATTCAAATTATATCACAATTTCTTTTCGAATCCTTCCCTTTTCCCCCTTCATTTCTCTTATCCGCTCTCGGTCCGTCCACGATAAAGAGATTCAGTTCTCTGATCGAAAAAGGACCACTCGTCATACGTCGATACACGCGTAAAGCGATCCTTCTGGTCGCTGACTCGTAACTCGACCTGCTAGTACGATCGAGGCCTTACGTCGTGTTGCGTTCTCTACCAGGACGTAACATCCCGACGTAACACATGTATAATATGATTTTAATAAAATATTTAAATTTAAATTATGATTTATCTCAACTAAGATAAATTTCAAGTAATCATTAATACTAATATAAAAGATTTAAGTAAAAAGAAACAATTGTTTATTTTATAATAACAGATATCTTTTGCTACAGTTATTTGCGGAGGCTTCAAAGAAGCAAGCTGACGCAGCAATGATACAAGCTGAAAATGAATGTGCACGGATTGCGTTAGAAGAAAAAAGAATTTTGTAGCAGGAGAGGAGATTAGAAATAGATGAAAAGCTGATAACAACTGTTAATTATATGCATAGGTCAATAGAAAAAATACTATTCAATTATAATACGTCATAATCACACATATAATAAAAACGTTTTTATATCTTTACATATTGCATCTCTACTAGAAGACGGTTACATCTTTGAAATGATCAAATTCGAGTTATTACCACGATCGTGTCAGGAATATGTTGTTTCACAACCTGTTTCACCTGTATAAAGGTTACATGTCTAGGGTCGCAGGATATCTTATGATTAAAATTCACACAAAAAGATCTTGGGTCATTGGAACAGGAATGTCAATTCAGCGAATTAATCGCTGCCATTCCTGGGAAGAGGTTTAGAGATGTAACCATCTTCTAGCAGAGATGCGATATTATTATATGTTATGCTTAAAAATGTTACACACTTGATTTATATTCTAGAAATATTGTTTATTTTAAAATTATAATATATAATACAAAAGATTTTAAGTCATTTATATGTACGTATTTAGAAATAACTGTTTTTTTATATTCTTCCATAATGCCGAGCAATAAAGCTGTCCTGAATACGTATAGCAAGTGCCCGCCCTTGATATGCATAACCTCTGTCGTCATACTTCACAGCTATGTTTGATCTGTTTACGTGATGCAAGTTTTCATCCATTTCAATTAATTCTTCGTCGTGTATACGATAAGCAATCCTCATATTGTGTAACACGGCACACGCGTTAACAATTTTACCAGCCATACCTGGCTCATACATTAAGCGCCTCTGAGCAGATAAACACCTGAACACGGATTTTCAAACGTCAAATAAACGTTCTACGCACGATCTAGCGCTGCTAGATTCTCGTTATATTGAAATCTAGGTGTATTTGGCATTTCATGTTTAAGAGGCGTCATAAGCCATGGCTCTAGGCTATATCCATCATAACCTGTTAATAATAATAAAATAATAAGGTAATTATATATAATAAAATAAGAATAAAATGCAATAAAATAATAATGGAAAATTATAAAATAAAAATAATATTTAGAATAACGAAATGCAAATGTTGCAATAATATACAATCAAGTAAGGCTAATGACAACCAGTCACGGCGATGATAGGAATATTTGAAACTTGTTGGGAAAATAAGATTGTTTAACAATGTTAACACACGTATCGAATGTATTTTTCGAATTTGATGTATGCGGTGAATGAAAGTTCCATAATCAGACGCTTTTTTTACCCTAAATCATTTATTAATCAATAATTATTAATAACATTAAATATTAATTATCAATAATTTGGAATAAAAGAGTCTGACAATAGAAAATTGATTTGCTGCGTAAGGTTTAATTTGAAAATATATTTGGTGCACGTATTAACATTGTTGAAGAATATTGTTTCCACAAAGTTTTTAATGTTCGCTGCAATAACTGTGATCAATTCTTATTTTCAATATAATGCTTAGATTTCTTCGCCGTGGTCATCTTAGACTATGTCATAAACGAAAAAGTGCTGTACTAAAAATTTCTGCGCGCTATCTTTCAATAAAAAGATATTTCGAGAAAACAACACTTAGGATTTAGATTTGCTAAACAAATTATAAAATGTCAGTTTACTTGAACAATCAATAAATAGATATACAATTAAAATGACATGTTATGTTTAGCATTGTTAATTAAGCAATAAGTTCAACCTTTTTCATTTTGTTACATTTATTTCGACATGAAAGACAAAAAGTTTTAATTATTACTATTTGATTAAACATTACGTTTAGCTTACCAATTAACCAGATATTGCGTTCTCCATTATTATATCTTCGTTCCATTATACGTCGTATAGGAGAATTTGACCAAATATAAGCATCGTGTCGTGCACCTGGATATCGCGCGTTCACATTCAATATTTTTAAATCAGGATCACAGATCTATAAAATAACAGAAATATTTATTTCGTGCACGTATATCATATTCATATTTTAAAAAGGTATAGTGCAACATATTTTATAAATGTCACTAAGTGTTCGCGACGCGAGCAAAAACCGCGGAGAGTCGTCGCGATGAGAGCGCGACACTATCACGTGTTTTCCACGTGCCTAGGTGTTCCGCGGCGCGGAACATGGTAAGCGGGAAGAAACGCTGATTGCTTTACGTTGTCATAGCAACTGTGGACAAACAATGTTTCCGCGAATCGACAGCCGGCACGCGCCGTGGAGCCTTACATCTCGCGAAACATCTCCTTTTAAGGAAATTTCGGCACGCGACCAGCGATCACCTTTGCTCGGGACCAATCAGCGGGTGCCAGAGACGAATAGAAAAAAGGCTTGGTCCACGCGGCAACTGGCCGCGGTTTACCGAAAACCACACAGTCTTGCAGCAGCTGAGCTACCATCGAGACGTCGGTAGAGATTCGGAGCAATCCATCGCTTTTCATATTCATTGAGGAGTAAGCTACGTCCGATTTCCTGTTCGCAAATCGCTCGCTTTTCGTAAGGCCATCGTAGACGACCGACAGAAATCTTTCTCTATACCGGTCTGCTGTCGTCTTCGCATCTGAGCGCCCTGATTAGCGGAATTTCAATTTTCATATCTCTGGGTCGCCGGTCGCCGTCGGCGACCGCTTTCTTGCGAATCTCCAGATTACTCCATTCTTTTACACGTCGGCTGTCTCGACTGACTGTAGACTTAGGCTGTTCGTAGTTATCAATCGCTGCGTTTTCGCGCTACATAGGACGACAATTGATCCGTCTTGTACATTTCGCTTAAAGTCGCGCCCGCAAATGAGATGCAGCGCAGAATTCTTCGATTGTGCGGAGCAGCGGTCTCCGTGAACTTTATAATGTTTGTTAGTGTTGTCCTGTGTTAAAGTTCCGCGGCATCTCGACGATCGTTTCGTGAAAGAGTCGGCGGTCACCGCGTTACAAGATATCCGTCGGCCGCGTCAAGATCTCCGTCGGCCGGGCATGCGTCGGATGCTCTCCAAGATTTTCGTCACGGTTGTGTGACCAAATGCATGACTCTCCGAAGATTTCCGTTCCAACTCGCGATCGAATCGAGATAGTCTCTGTGTGAACTCATCGAGAATGTAAAATAAAGTAAATCACTATGTAACGGGATTTCTTCTCTTGCCTCGTTCTTTTCCTGCGGTTTATCGCTTGGGTAAGCTCGCCGGCGTCCAGGATCGTGATAGGACAGAGAGATGGCAGTAATGTGCTTGATTGTGTTAAATTACAACGAGAGTTTATTGCTTTGGCGTACAGTGGGTGGGGCTTTTATACTGCGCCCGAGGCGCGTGCGATCGATGTTGCCGGTGCAACTCGGAATGGTGGGCGGTCGCGGTGGCGGCAAGCCGCGATCCGGGCTCTGGGCCGCGTCGTCCCTTGGGTTGACTTCCACCCGGCACGTCGTCGTCTGGAACGGTGTGTCGTGGAGTCACGGTCTTCTCTGAGTTCGATCTACGCGCTCTCCGCTGAGTTCGAGCGACGGCCGAAACCCGGCACGTCGTCGTCTGGAACGGTGTGTCGTGGAGTCACGGTCGAAGCCCGACACGCTCTCCTCTGAGTTCGATCGGCGGCCGAAACCCGGCGCGTCGTCGTCTGGAACGGTGTGCCTCGAGAGGCTGAGTTCGCGGTGTCACGCTCCCGTGCTGGTCTCCTAGGAGACCGGCGGTGAACTCGTGTTGAGGGTTCCGCGAGCCCCCCTTTTATAGAGGCGGCCGCGGAAATTTAACTGCGAGTGCTGCCTCACCCTCGCGTTGCGTAGCGGCGACCGGGATAACTACTGGGCTCCCGGCGTGCTAGTCGTATAACGGGTGTCGGGTATCATAAATAAGTACAGCGGATGAACGCAACCTAAATATATTTTAAACATCGACTGCGGTCGAGAATACGAAAGGAAACAGCAACTAGAACGATTGAATATAACTATGATTATAAACGAGGTGGGAACGCCTCGTTACAACTAAACTCTCACGAGTCAGTTAATCACCGAATTCGCCTCCCTTTCCTCACTCCAACAGACCTCGTGCGAGGTCGATCCAGCAAGCGTAATTCACTCAGTGACTTGGAGAGAATTCGCTACACTAAGTGTAATTAAAATGTCCTTGAGTGTAATTATATATATTTAACAATTAATACGTAAGGCTCATTTCTTTAGAAAACTCTGAAATAAAATATAAAGTACCAATAAAACTAAACTAAAATGTCTATGAAATAACAATATTAAACGATCATGTCATTATATAGTACTTAAATTACATATACATTTATGTACATTTACATCGTAAGGAAAAATATTGATTGAAAAATATAAATTAAAATTTTGAGAAATACATTTATATAAAATAACAAATTAAAATTATGAGCAAAATATTATTAAATAAATTCAAATTAAGTTTTGTAATTTTAGAATAAACTTAAAAATATTATTTAGAGAATTTTAGAATTTTTTTTCTAAAATCAGAAAGATGTAACAAATAAAACTTGTAATAATCAAATTTTTGCATAAAATGAAATTACATACTAATCAAGATATTCATTTCATGTAGTACATACTACTTGAATGTTGAGAGTGTGATCACCCCAGTGATTCACGTATGCTTCTTCATGCTCCTTGGGTCCTTTAATGTTAATATAAGTGCAATCGATAGCTCCAATTGCACCTATGAACGGTTGCGGAGCAGCCCTAAACTTTTCCCGGCTGACTTGACGTTCGCCATCTGTCATGGGGAATCGTACCCATTGTCGCAGAAGATCATTTATGGCATCTGTAACTTTTCGTACACAGCGACTAACAAATGGCTGGCTTATTGCAATATCCCATTGTTTTCCTATTGCGCCTTGAGAGCATTCAACAGCATAAAACCTTAAAGCGGCTAAAACCTATAAAAAATATTTATAAACTAGTAACACACATACACAAATTATAAAATATTAAACTTTTAAAAAATTTAAGTTTTCATTTTTTCACTTATAGTTTATATACTGAACTTCTATTTTTAGAAAAATAGAGCACATTTAAAAAAAATTATTTTGGGTAAAGATGTAACAAAGTATTCGACATACTTGACGTTCAGGATTAAGACCACTTGGTCGTTCGTGCCATCTTGGTCTTAATGTTTCAATTAAATCCATCGATCTCAGGACTTAGTATATATAACTTGAGAAATTCAACATCACGGATATCAAAAGGATCATGTAATTCTTTCCAATCCTTTCTCTGCATACGACGTTCTAAACGTCTCATGAGATGCTCCAAATATAAAATATCCCATGCTAAGAATCCTTCTGCCATACTATAACAAAATATGTATATTACTTAAGATAAGAAATTCAGCTAAAATGACAATGATCTTTCAAGATTTCTTTTAATATCTAATCAACATCAACATCAAGTCGGTTCATACTTAACTTTCATTCGATACCTATTTTACCTGTACAAAAAAAATTAATAATGAATAATAAATATAATATGTCACATAATTTAACCTAGTAGTAGTATTTGCACATCTTTTTCAAATGACTTAAAAAATAAGAAAAATGTTGCACTTTAAATATGTATGTAACGATCCGGAAAATCGTCACGACACTAGAAACAATATTTATAATATGAACAAAGAAACGCCGCGCGCGGGATAACCGCAAGGTCAACAAACAGCCTTACTGTTTGTTATAATTTAGTATAAAAGGCCGTTACAAAATGGATATAGAGAAAGATCGATCGGAAAGCTCCTTTCAGGCGCACGACCGACCAGAACTCAAAACTCCTAGGGATCCTAGACATTCCGTCGACCGAAGTGGATACGCGACGTCGACATCCTTTCCTCGATACCGCTCTACCGACCGAAGTGGATACGCGACGTCGGTTTCCTATCCATACACCGCTCCGTCGACCGAAGTGGATACGCGACGTCGACATCCTCTTTCCGATACCAATCTACCGACCGAAGTGGATACGCGACGTCGGTTTCCTATACGTACACCGCTCCGTCGACCGAGGTGAATACGCGACGTCGACACCCTTTCCTCCTCACGCCGCGCCGCTAACACCTACGATTGCGAACGCATACAGGGCGTAAGATACCGGTGACGACGAGCGCCTTTAAACCCGCCAGGAAAGCCAGGATAAATAAACATTAAAGCCGACGAGGCAACGAACTTCAAACGACGAACAATAGCGTACCAGGAAACTATCCCGATCGCGTCCCGCCGACCGCTCGCGCGCCTCGATGCTCGCAGCTGATCGCGAGACGACAACAACGGCTCCCGACGAGAGCAAAAACGCGACCACGCGCCAACGGCGTAACGTCGCATGTAAATAATTGTACATAGCTTCAAAATTAGAATATAGTGTCACATTATTATAACCTACATCACTGGTTTTCATTTCACAAACGAAATCCGGACCACACCGACTAAGACTATCCCGCACGTAACGCAAGGCCGTTACAAATTGGCGCCCGAACAGATAAAGAAAAATTATGAAGCAGTGGATCTATACACTGGCAAAAGACCAGATAATTCAAAAAATGGCAGAACTAGGATTGCCCACAGAAGGCACCCTAGATGAATTAAGAAACAGACTAAGTAAATATGTCTCCGATAATCCGCAACGATTCACAAATAGAACGGAAGACGAAAGGACGAGCCAAGAGACAGAAGTATTATATAGAAACGACACGGCAACGGTCGCAAAAACAATTAACCAAATGCGTAAATGGGGATGTCATGCGTGGATCCCCGGCGTTGCCATAACAGGTCACCAGCGCGCCCCTCGTTACCAACTATCACCAGCCCCCATGCACCCGTGTTGCCCGTTCTCCGGAGAGGATCACCAGGAAGCATCAGACCAATGCTCTTCCCCCCAGGCGCTGCGGGCGACGCCGCTTGAAAACGCGGTCGGAACCGCGTTCGCAACCAACCTTACAAGGGCGGTCCACCTACATAGCGACTCTACCTCGCGTGAACATCCTCTACTCTTCCCCGAACCGCCGTGCATGATACACATGGTCTACCGGTGAAAGCCTCAGGGGTTTCCCCAGTCCCTCCTACGCTACCCTGTCCACTCTTAGCCAGCGGTTCTCCGGAAGGGGCCTCCCACCGACCGAAACCAGTGATACTGCCGCCCGCCATCATTGGATCAGCCGGACCCCCCCCCCCC